GTGTGAGAGAGAGAGAGAGAGAGAGAGAGAGAGAGAGAGAGAGAGAGAGAGAGAGAGAGAGTACGGCATGAGGTAATTCTCCAAGGCCGCGGCTGGCCTCGCGCAACTACCATCGAAATATTCGCTACTACACGTATGTGTGTGTGTGTGTGTGTGTGTGTCTGTATGTGTGTGCGTGTGTGAGGTCGAAAGGATGAGCAAAATCGATGTCTGTGTGTGTGTGTGTGTGTGGGATCGAAAGGATGAGCAAAATCGATCACAGAGAGAGAGAGAGAGAGAGAGAGAGAGAGAGAGAGAGAGAGAAGACAGAGGGGTATCACGGCAAAATCCCATCGGCAAATTCTCATACGATGGACAGGAGTATAAGGGAAAATTGTCATACAGGGATAACGGCAAATTACCATACAATAGACAGGGGTATCACGGCAAATTGTTATACAAACGACAGGGTTATCACGGCATATTGCCATACAATAGACAGGGGTATCACGGCTCATTCTCATACAATAGTCAGGGGTATAACTCCAAACTGTCGTACAATAGAGAGGGTTATCTCGGAAGACTGTCATACATTAGACAGGGGTATTCAGGCAACAAAGTTCGCCTGTGTGCATCTCAGGCAACGAAGTTCACCGGTGTCATACTTTTTATATTTGCCCCTTCGCAACTCTTCGCGATTCTCATATTTGCCCCCCGGTGTGCATCACTGACTGACAGTAGCTCTTCGAAAAAGAGCGAACGTAGCGTGCTCACTGCACAATTCAACATTGGACACGTATCTAGACAGCGTGCTGGACCAGATACATTCGAAACAATTGTCAATGAGCATTTTGAATGTACTTGGACCATCGTTAGATCCAAATACACTCAGAATGTTGACCAGTGGAACAAGGCGCTGAGGTTCGTTCATCATAATTTACGGTACAACCCGTGTTCGACCGAATACAAAGTCCGGTCATTATAGCTGTATATGGGCCAATTTTGCGTCTAGATACAGCTATAATGACCGTACGTTGTATTCGGGTGACGACAGGTAGTCAAAACGTTTTTGAGTCCTTTGACACGCATAAATCGAGAAATGGTCCAAATTTTTAAAAACGCATTATTCCTGTATTTGGTGTGTGTATGTTTCTTCAAACTAGGAACGCTCCAACAACCATCAAAGAGAGGGAAACAGAGAAGAGGAGAGAAGAAGATGATGAACAGGAGGGAGGAGGAACAGGAGAGAGGGAAAGGAGAGGAAGAAAAGAGAGTGAAAGCTCGAAGAGAACCACGGTGATAACTCCGGGTCGAATTGTGAGGTCCCCGGCCTCTTTTCTGCTTGAAATAAATGATTTTCTGTGCAAAAAAAAAAACGAAAAAAAAAAAACCCGAACGCGACTTGCCCAGTGGCCGTGTCCCGCTAGCAAAGAGGATCGAATTAGGAGCCTGAATCTGGATATGTTATTGGCGCAGATGCAGAAAAGCAGATCAGTCACGGTTTTCTGCATGTCCCCTCATACGCGTCCAGATTCAGGCATTTCAAGCCAATCCTCTTTGCTGGTGGGACCTCGCCCCAGATCAAAATACATCGATAATGTCGCCTTCTGGTCTAAATGGCGCTAGAACGGTAGTGTCCAAGGCAAAAGTAACATCTACTACGGGAGCGAGGTCCCACTGGCAAAGAGGATTGGATTAAGCTCCTGAATCTGGACGTGTTTTAAGCAGAGATGCAGAAAAGCAGTTCAATCTCGAGTTTCTGCACCCTTTGCACGGGCACGTCCAGATTCAGGCGTTCGATCCGATCCTCTTTGCTAATGGGACCTGGGCCGGGGGAAGACGGGTAGCCTGGGTAGGGGGACCAAAAAAAAAAAAAAAAAAAAAAAAAGGGAAGGAGAACCCGCAGCGAGCTCCCGCATAATGAGATGGTGACTTAGTAGAGCTCATCCGCAAACACTGTCTGCACGTTCTCTCGGCTGAGAATTTGACCGTAATTGCGGTCACAAACATCCATTACAATTGATGAAACTGAGCATTTGACCGTAATTGCGGTCAAAAACATCCCCTAAAACTGATGGGCTGAAAAATTGACCGTAGTTGCCGTCACAAACACCCATTCGAATTGATGAAACTCAGAAAAATTGATCATCGTTGCGGTCAGAAACATCTATTGATGAAACTGAGAATCTGGCCGGAATTGCGGTCACAAACATCCGTTTCAATTTTAGAAAAAGGGCCTTGCTCCACTACTCTCCACACGCACAGAGGATTCAGTCTCATTTTGCACATTCGGAGAGTACCAATTAACAATTGACCAACTGGCCTATACCTTCTTCCCCCGAATACAACGTACGGTCATTATAGATATATTTGAGACATCTTTCTGTCTAGATACAGCCATAATGACCGTACTTTGTATTCGGCGGTAGAAGGTAGCCCACTTGGTACCCCCCCATTTACTGGTCAAATACAGACCCCCCGAGTTCGAACTCCACTGAGAAAGCAGATGAGTGAAATAGACCAAAAAAACAAAAAAAAAAAGAAAGAAATAGTCCAAATTCTGAATTACCTAAATCACGGTCAATCAGTTCGATGCTAAAATCTCAAGCCAGTTGCCCTTTCGAAAAAAAAAAAACAAAAAAAAGCAATAGCCAATAATTGATCAAATCAAAAGGAGGAGAAAGGGGGACAAAACAAAAAGCACCATATAATTTCATTAGCAATCTTCAAAAAAAAAAAAAAAAAAAAAAAAAAAAAAAAAAAAGAAGCAATCTTATTTTTTAATTTCATTTGAATTGAAGATTGAAGTTCTTCACTCAATTTCAGGTTTCACTATAATTTACCTACCACTGCTCCTATGCCTACATACAGGGGACCCCTGCGGTGAAGTCCCACCGCCGAAGTTCAGTTTTCTCAACGCTGACCTTTCTATCACGTGTGGCATGGTGGGACGGAGCTCTGCCGTTGATGTATTGCGATCTGATGGTACCAAAATACAGGAGAATGACCTATCAGATTTAGTCATTCTGTATAATTTTTCTTTGACGTAAAGGTGAAATTTAGAGAAAGAGGAAGTTTACTTTAAAAAAAAAAAAAAAAAAAAAAAAAAAGATTGCAGTTCACCTGCTGTGCCGCCATGCAATTGGCATTGTCCTGAAGAAATACAAGTAGGGGAGAAGGGAGGAAGAGCACAGAAGAACGAGGAGGAGGAGAAGGAAGGAAGTGGGAGCAGGGAGTCATCGTGGTGAGAAAGAGAGAGAGAGAGAGAGAGAAAGTGTATTCCAACCATGCACGCAGACAGATAGAGAGAGCCTACTTCCATCGATGGGATGAGAGAGAGAGAGAGAGAGAGAGAGCGAGAGAGAGAAAGAGAGAGAGAGACGGAGGGAGAGAGAGAGGAAACAGTCTACCGCAGTCATGTTATTCTTGAGTGTACAGCGAATATGACGACAAAAAAAAAATATTAATAAAAAAAGCCTGCCGTGTAACAACAACAGTCCCGTCCCCCTGTTCGTCCCTCTCCTCTGCCGCAGCGTAGCTGCGGCGGGTCCACTTGTTGGTTTTAAAGGGGCTAAATTTAAGGGGTTTAAAGGGGGGGCCTTTGTGTGATTCTGTTATTTTCTTTTTTATCTCCGATTCAGTGAGGAATTATAATGCGACCCTCAGCCAAAAGTCGTTTGTATTTCAATTCTACATAGCATTTCTTTTTTTTTTCCGGAATTTTTTGAATTTAATTTTTATTTTTTGCGCTGCCATGCCCAGCGGATCGTGCCTGACCGGGCACCCGGGCGTTTACGCGGGCAGAAGTTGGGTGCCCAGGTGCCCGGAGAAACAGCCTAGGTTTCGCCCCTATACTTCGTGACCCATCGCCCCTGTAATTTCTGGTGTTTGTGGTGTGTCCTCCTGACGCCAGTCTGACTTTGCGCAATAGTCCTCACATCGGCTCAGCCTGAGATCTTTTCCCTCCGTTCCGGTTACTGCCAGCCGAACTTTGGCAGCCCCCCCTACCTTTGGCCATTCGGTACCAAGGTGCAAAGTTGGGAGGCCCAGGGGCACAACAAAAATTGAATGGTCATCTGACAGGGCACAACAAAAATTGGATGGTCATCTGACAGGGCCCTGCCATTCGGTATATAAATGCATGCAGTCATAAAGAACTGCCTGATGAATTGTAGGCAGAGGTGGAGAAGAGGACAACAAACCAGGGGCTGTGACAGAATGTTTCGTCGGAGTTTCAGCAACTCATCAGGGGCTATGTCGCATCAGATATATCGCGGTAGTTGCAGCGCGCGACAGCCTGTTCCTGTGCAACAGATGTGCAGTGTTGATGGCTGCCGCGCTCTTGTGTGACAGATATGCAGCGTTGATGGGCTCGTATCGCACGGTCTGTAAGGTGTCCCAGTCTGGTGTCTCGGAAACGGTATGAGTGAGTTGTAGGCGGGCCTTAACGTGAGTGGCCGGTAGTATTGCGGTGTGTTGCCTCCCGTCCTGAAATAGAACAAAGCTGGGAAAAGGGGTCTATTCTACAACACTGGAGGCGTTGATGTGAGAGAATCTTTTCTAGGTGCCTGCAGATACTTCTGACCATTTCCTGGGAGTGCAGGCCTCTTTAACAGATGATTCATCTTACCAAGATTCGGCGGCGTTCGAGGAGAAAGTGGTGAGTCGTCTGCTATCTTTTGCATCACCTCTCCTTGGTATGCAGAGCTTTGGTGGGTGATCAACTTGGCAGTATATCTGCTGGGGGAAGTGGCGTATAAATAAACATATTAAGAAAACAACAGCTAGGGCACTCTGGAAGCCGGATGGCAGTGCTCAGAGAGTGGCTTCATCTAAAAAATTGCACAGGAAACAATCACATTCCCAAGAGAAGACGCCTGGGGGGCCTCGGGATCCTAGATCCCATCAGGCATTGCACTGCTGGCCAAATGGCCCATAAAGGCTCTCACAGCTGATGTAGATGCACCCTGGCTTAGATTAGCCAGCTATCTGATGAGAGGAGAGTGGGCCTTATGCAGAGACGAAGACATGTTAGCATATGCCTTCTGATTACTAGATCTTATGTGAACAAACAACCAAAATCGAAGTTTTGGAAGGATATGTTAGGGGCTTGGAGGAAAGTCTTCCCGACGGAAAGGGACAGTCCCAGGACTAGAGACTCTGTGCTCAATCAGATTATCTTTGAGCATCCGCTCTTACTTGATAGTCGGGGGAGAGAGTTTTTCTGCACAAGACTCCTCGGGCTGCTTTGGTAAAGCTTGGATCGAAAAGCGGAATTGTACGGCTTAAGGACATACGGGATGAGGAAAAAGAAGACTGGAGTCCGCTTCACAAGGTTAAACGCAAACTCTCAAGATTGAAAAATGACCAGCTCAGGTTGTCCCAAATTCATCAAGCTACTCCGGCCTCATGGATCGCCCTGTTAAAACAACAGCGAGGTTCGCCTATCGGACTGGACTCTGGATGAAACCGTTATCCCTGAATAGTACGGTGTACCATATCACAGACGATCTGGGGGAAGAAGGATGGGCGGCAAAAGAATGGCAGGCGTTGGAGACCTTTCGAGTTCTCAAAGGAGGTGACTCAAATACCTACCTCCTCTCGCCTTCTTTCATTGGATGGATATCAGGAAGTAGCAGTCAATTATTATCATCTAATGCAAAAGAAAAGAGCTAGAGGGAGCTAGCTGGAGTGCACACTCCCAATGGGCCTGCGGCCCCTGGCCCTAACGACAATGGATACAAGGACTGTAGGCTGGTACGTGAACACAAAGCTCAAAAGAGTGAGTTTGGATGGCTACCCCTCCAAGGTTGGAGTTGCCCTTCTCGGGTTGAAGTTCCCAAAAACTCCGCCGGCTGCAGTCTCTATGGAAACAGTGCAAGGAAATGCCATCTAAAAAATTGGCCAGTATTGCATGGCTTCAGACTTTCCTCGCTGCATCCTCGCCGCATCCTCGCCGCTATAGCTTGCCAAAGAAAGGAATGAAGTTGTCCACTAGCTGTGCAAGATGCAGATGGCCTTGGGAAAATAACAGACACCTGTGGCTCTCTTGCCTAACCTCACGGAGGATTTGGGATTGGTGGATCCGGGATTGGAACAGGCTTAACATTTTCTATTATTATTATTATTTTTTAAATGCCCCCTCCAGTGCTCCCCTGCTGGAAAAAGGGTCCAGTGTCCCATATACAGAATGAAATTGTTGGATACCAGGACAAGAATTCACACAAAATTTGTTTATCATTAGTAGAAGAGCAATTCTCTGGGCTATTTGGAGAAGAAGATGCACACACGAATGGGAAAGAGTCGGACTTGATGGGCAGGAATTCACGGATAGCATCAAGGAACAGATACAAACAGATATCAGAAGGAAAAAGAAATTCTTGAACACATTAAAAATTTTAATAAAGGCTGGCTTGGGGGGGGAACAGGGAGGAAACATGGGAAGGTTGGGTGGGAGGGAGCCCAAGCAAATGATGAAGTTGCTCTCAACAGGAATTACAAAATACATTTCAATGATTGGTGCGCAGTGGACCCCATGATTCCTCTACGTCCTGCTGCTGAATTCCCTGACCCTTTTCCCTCAAACCAGCAGTCAATGGTTCCCATCTCATGGTATGGCTCTGCATAGAGTCGAATTGTCACTCACTCAGAGAGCTGTAATGTTTTCCCCAACCAAAGAAGGGCTAGTTCAGATTGTATGACCTGGCGCCAAGCAGCTTGGTGAAGAGCCCCAATCTACAATGACATTTCATCGGTATTCAGCATCATCATTTAGAGGTGGGACGCTGAGCCCGGTTCTCAGCAAGCTGGTTTCAGTTACTCCGGGTAGACTGTGAGGACCCCGGCCTCAATCACCTTTTTGGTAATATCAGCCTTGGGCACCGGGCCTGTTTAAATAAATAAATAAAAAAAAAGAAAAAGAAAAGGACAAGAGTCTTGAGAGACACCTGCCAGCATTGATTACTCTGGAATCCAGAGGATGGGACGCTGGGCCCCGTTCCCAGCACGTGCTGCTCCCCACGAATAGACTGGAGCATTTGTTCAAAAAAAAAAAAAAAAAAAAAAAAAAAAAAAAAAAGGTCACTGGAAAAGGGAGAGACCCTCTTGGCCCTGTGCCAGGTGCCCGGTATCTGCTACTACAATCTAGTTCCTCCCTCCCCATTGATTGTGCAGATAGAGAAAAAGATGAGAAATTGATAATAGGTTGGAACGGACAAATGGATTTTGTCAGTGATCCACAATAGAAACTGCAAACATGAACAAGACTGGCTTTACGTAGTTCAAAACACAAGAGTCATTTTGATGAAAATTATCTGGGATGATCGGAATAATCAGCTGTTCAGATCTGAGGGCTGTTCGGATGAGAAAGTGAAGTGCTTTAGTAGCCCTTCAGATCAGACTAATAATCAGAATCTACTGTATCAGACGGAAAGTTTCAGGCTCTCAGAAGTCTTTTTTTTTTTGGTGCTGATAAGAGCAGACATCACTAGCATCTGGGGAAAGGCTCCATCTATTGGTGGGGAGCATCACCTCCTGGAAAAGAAGTCAAGGAAATGGTTATGGGATACGTGGGGGAGGGGGATTCCACATTAGCTAAGTTGGACTCTGGTGGTAGGTTGCAGTTCTGTCATTGGCTGTTGTCCGCCGTGGGACATGGGGAGCGTTTTAGCTCCCCCCCATACAACAGTAGAGTCCCGTTTAACTGACTTTGGGGAAGAATTGGGGGGAGTACTGGCTGCCTGGACATCTCCTTTTTTTTCAAATTTTTGGAGGACTTTTATTTGGTTCTGAAGGGACACTGGACCCGATTTCCAGTAGCCTATGGCTGGGCTTGGGCTCCAGGCTTCATCTCGGGATGTTGTGGGGTTTCCTGGGCCCCGATTCCTTTATTTTGCAGTAAAAAATTTCATGGTTCTACAAAAAAAAAAAAAAAAAGCTCAAGGTGCTCGGATTTCTCCGTAATTTCGTGATCACGTGCC